CTCTCTCTCTCTCTCTCTCTCTCTCTCTCTCTCTCTCTCTCTCTCTCTCTCTCTCTCTCTCTCTCTCTCTCTCTCGCTCGCTCGCTCGCTCGCTGCACTGCAGCAGCAGCGCTCCAACTCCTAGCTCGCGCCCTGCACTGTAGAGTCTGTGTAGACTAACACTAGCTGCGCCCAGCATGTCAACAACTGAAGACTACTCGCTACTGTCTCAGAACTACCTCTGAACTACTTGCCTAGAATGAGGTCGGTCCGGCTATATATAACGCTGGGCCTAGTGTCTTAGGCCGAAAGGAGGCAGTCTGGTCGAAGGCAAAACTGGTCTGGCGCCAAGAACAGGAGTGTTCTGGCACCACAACGAAAAAATGGCGAAAGTAGTAGGGACCAGGTGAAGGAAAAGTCTGGCGCCCAAACTCAATACGAAACCGGTCAGTACGAGATAGTGGCCTACTGGGTCCTATGGGTGACACAGATCCTAAACCCTACGAAAACCCCTAACCCTACAGTCGGGCCCTGCGGGGCCCATGTGGAACTGAGTATGCCACAACATGTCTGCCCCTATCACAGTTTGTATTCAATATGCTCCATACTTGAGGCCGCGCATCACGTGCGCACGGGGCACGAACGTTCAGCGCAAAGCACAAGCACACGCATGCGCGCGCATGTGCTTCGCCGCATCCCAAAAAATAGGGGTCCATTGAAAAAATTCGTGAAAGGGGGGAAACTGTTGCATTCCTCCCCTCTTCCGCCCCAAAAAACAGAGAGGGCAAAAAACAAAGAAATGTGACACCACACCCCTATGTTTTCATTTGTGTGTGGGCGTGTGTGTTGCTTCATGTGTTGCCATTCGGGAATGTATGCAACCGATCCTCCGGTCTCGATACAGTCATAATGTGTGTGGATCGTACTGTACGGAACGGATAGTTCTCAAAGTAGCTTCTTTCTCTTTTTCCTAAGAAATTAAGCATAGTAAGGAGATTTCTTTTGCCGCAGAACGGATTCTTCTGACATTAGATATCTCCAAGATTTGTGAAGTCGTTACCTATCTCTCGGGACGTGTAGAAGGTACTCTTCAGGTTGGACCCAGACGTGACGATGGTGCGCGCCGTTCACGAAACTGGGTTTCCCTTAACTTCGATGAGGCCCACGCGCAACTCAAATATATTCAGCTGACGATCTAGGTCGGATGCAGTCATGAAGAGGGCGCAACTTCAACGAGGCCTGCATGCTGCTCGAATAGATATAGGTGGGGATTTACGTCCGATAGAGTTATATGGGGGGTGCAGCTGCGATGAGGCCCGTGTGCTGCTTCCATGAATATACAGGTGACGATGCACATCCCATACAGTCACGAGTGAGGGTGCAATGTCTATGTCCGCATGCTGCACGAATGTATGGGGGCAACGGTTCAGGTCCAATACAGTCATGATGAGGGTGCGACATTGAGACGCCTGCGTGCTGCCTGAATGTATGGAGGTGACGATTTGGGTGGGGTACAGTCATGATGAGGATGCGCAGTGCCGGGAATTTGAAACAAGACCTCCACCCTCAGCACGCCTGTATCGGACCTGCAAATCAGCTCGATACATTCGAGGGCACTACACGCCCTTGTGCACTTTCTAAACTCCGACGAGGGTGCGTTGTGCCCGAGGATGTATTCAACCTGGCTTTCAAGTCCGACACCCTCTCTCTCTCTCTCTCTCTCTCTCTCTCTCTCCCACAGAAAAAAAAAAAACTGGGCGCACACCAGGAGACTAATGTGCCGCACAGAGCGCACCACCCATGCACGTCTTGTGCACGGTATCATAAATCCGCACATGGTGTGATGCGCACCACACAGTGCACCACAAGTATGATATGCTCATATACTGCCCGTCTGTATTTGAAGTTCAGTTTTCTGCTATGAGCGCAAGACAGACAAAAAAAAAAAAAAAAGGACAGTACTGAGAGTAGACTTATATGTGGGGAAAAAAAGCCAAAAAAAAAAATAAAAAAAAATGTGGGCTTTGCCATCTTCTTATCCATGCGACACAAGATACAATATCCGAGATTTAAATGTATACATATCTCCATCTCTGCCTACGGTGTACCAGGCAGTTCTGTTTGACAATATATACGACGACTTCGACGACTTCAATAGCACCCTGCTATGGTTTTCTCCGGTCAGGTTGACAGTCTGTGGTCGGGGCCGTCGCTACGCAGCAATGCTATGCCTCTAGTGCCAGCGGTTTGTCTGGAGTGTATTCTCTGGCTATGATAGACCTTTCTTTGTTTCGTGGGTGTTTTGCAGGGCTTGTGATGGGGTCTGAACCGGCAGTCTGTAGAGTTTTCAACCTGGCGTGGGTAAGTGATAGTCTGCTTTGATTTTCGTCACAGGTACCTTGAGGGCAGTAGTTGGTGGTCCCCACCATCTCAGAGGGGTATCAGTTGCCGGGTAGTCGTTGATGCTTAACCACAACCGGGGTTAAGGTGGATTATTTATCACTTACAGTCTAATCAGTCAGTTAGGGGATTCTGCAGACTGTTGAGGGTTCAGCCTCCTGACGGGTCGGTGGAACTCCGACGAAGCGAAACAGTTGGTCACAGCCCCTCGTTTGTTGTCCTCTTCTCCCTCTCTGCCTACCGGGCAGTTCTGTTTGACGATAAATATACAGATCGTAATATTAAGTATAATGATTCAATAATAGTTCAATATTGACTTCCCCATATACCTCCCCCCCCACCCCCACCACCTCCCCTCTCCTCCTTCCCATTCTAGTATTTCTGGGGCCCAAAGCCCCACCAGCAGCATTGAGTTTCCTCAACAGCACCTGTCCACAAACACGTCCAGATTCGGGCAATTGAGGAAACTCAATGCTGCTAGTGGGACTTGTCCCCGGGTCATTGCAACCTGGTGCGATTTCTTTTTGAAAGTTGTACAAGTTTTATCTTCTTCAACGTTTTCTTTTTACCGAAAGGAAGAAAAAAACTTCGGAAAAGAAAAAAAAATAGTTTTCGTGCGACGACTTCAGGATTGACTCCGTAGAAAGACATACGGCAGACTTATACCTCCTTTTGCTTGCCTAGCTTTTGGGAAAGAGCATCAATCCGGTTTCGATACTCCGCCGCCTTGGAACCAGATATGCTGTTAAGATGGCACCAAAAACAAATAAAAATCAAACACAATATGCCAGAAACGTCAGTGAAAAACTGAAGATGAACAGTGGTTCCTGGTGATTATTATTATTTAACGATTCACTACCTATTTCAAAATATGACACACAGTCACGTCAGACCATCTCGAAGTGGAGGTACATTGGGTGTGTGTGTGTGTGAGAGAGAGAGAGAGAGGGAGAGAGAGAAGTACAGATAGGGAGCGATAGAGAGAGGCAGAGCTATACTGAGAAAGAGAAGAAGAGTACCATGACTATAGAGAGCGCAAGAAAGACAAAGAGAGAGAGAGAGAGGGACGGAGGGAGGGG